GGCCAGATGGTTATTTTCTTCCTCCTCCATCGTAAATTGTATGTCCGGGATGATGCTGTTGAGACGTTCATTGAACGTTAGTACCTGATCCCGTTCGATGACGACGAAGGTATCATCCACATACCGAGCCCAGACTTTCGGCCTGTGGTCCTAGAAGACCAGCGACTCTAACCGCTGTAGGACCGCCTCGGCTATGAGTCCCGAAATCGGCGAACCCATTGGTATTCCCTTCATCCGCTCGTAGATTGTACCGTCAAACATGAAGTACCTCCTGAGACGGAACATCAGGAGCTGAAGGACTTGAGCATGCCCGAGGCGATCCTCCGTTTCATCGTATTTGCTTTTTAAAAGTAACTCGACGGTCTCGACTGCCAGGTGCTGGGGGAGAAAAGTAAAGGGGGACGTGACATCAAAAAGTACCATGACCTCATTTGCCAAGAGACTTATCCCTTTAAGCTTCTCCACGAATTGTGTTGGCGAACAGACAGTGGTGTCCGGATCAGCGGTTAGAAATCTGAAACGCCGAAACAGCTATTTCGCCTTTGAGCGATACGATGGCCCGGAGAGGAGTGACCTTCTTGTGCACACTTGAGAGGTCATAGAACCGGCCCAAGGCCGCCTCTTGGGCTCTTGCCATGCGCCGGTCGGTCCGTGTTATTGCACCCGAGTTTTCTAATGCCAACAGTGTTGCATTAATTTCGCGTGTCAGCGTTTTTTAGGGGGTTGGTTTCAGGTGGGACATAAAACTGACGATTCCCCCAGTACGATTTTGGCCTTCTGGAGGTAGTCTGTCCTGTCAAATACGACGGTGGAACGCCCCTTGTCCGCGGGCACGATGACGACTGATCTCTTGCAGGTATGCAACTTCCTGGACGTTTAAGCATGATGCGCAAGGTAAGATAGCCAGAAGGCTAACCTAATCTCCAGATATTTCGAAGACTATGTATTGTGTGCAAACAAGCTGACTGAGTACAAACATTATTTTATATCATAACTCGGCTAGATCGCAGTCGGTAGCCAGGTCCCGTATTACAGGTGGCTGGGGGTTTGTTTACTGGGGCTATTTAGTCGGGCTGCATAATTAAATCTGCCCCATTTTGCTTCCGTTTCACGTTTGAGGAGAGGAGTAAGCTAAAAGTTAATGGTTTCCGATTTTCGGGTTCGGGTTATACTTTTAGGCTTAGGTCTTCGATTTACGGTCAGGGCTTGAGCGTACGATTAGGGTTCAGTATTACGGTTAGGTTTTTAAGTTACGATTGTGTTGTGTTTACGGTTGTGTTTACGATTTTGGTTAGGGTTAGGGTTGCCGTTAAGGTTAACGTTTAAGGTTAAGGTTGCGGTTAGGGTTAAGGTTAGGATTAGGGCTAGGGTCATCGTCCGCTTCCCCATTCCTGGCTACCAACTGCGATCTAGTCCATAGTTCTCTTAAAGATGAGTGCGTCGGGTGGCATTTCAAATCTTTCAGGGCTGGCGGACTAATCAGTGCCAACAAGTCAGTCGAGTTTTGCTGTCTTTGTCAATAGCATTTTCAAAAGGATGATATCTTATTTATTTAAGACAGGTAAATATGGTCAGAAGCAAGACAGTATGATCAAAAGTCCTGAAATATGTCAGTTAAAAGAAAGTGCAGTAAGATGCCGCTGACGTTATGTTTCCGCGCACTGCGTTGAGTGTATAACACACTATGTCATAATAGTTCAAATGTGCACATGCACTTTGATTTCGTCGTCATTTGCGTTGAGCTTCCCAAAGAGGTAGTCATTCAATCTGGCAAAGAAACGGAAGTCACTCGGAACCAGTTTCATAGATATGGGATGGACACGAAGCCCTCTTAAATTCTTAGTTGAAAAAATAGAAAGCCATGCTCACCGTCCTGAGGAGTGATTCATGCAGGCGTCCTAATAACCACACGCTCCTACGGGAATTGTTATGAACTGAGTTGTTTTCATCTCGAGCCGGTCTGGCACTCATGGTAGTGACTGGTTGTGACATCCGCGATGAAGTGTCGATGGTGTTTTTTCTCTCGACAAGTCATTCACTCAAGAAATCCCTTTCGAATGCCACATTTGCTTTCGCTTTAATGGGATTTGAGCCGCCCCTTATTTCTGCGAATATCTGGTCCACTATGCGCGAACCAGGACGTATGCGACACAAGTGGACGAACTGTTTAACTTTGTCAGCCACTGTGGCCGAGGCCACCTCCGCTCTTTCTGACTCTGCATTGTCACCGATATCACCGAGTTTTTAAAAATTGGGTCATTTAAATTATGTAGATCCGTCAAGAATAGCTATGAATTGAAGAAATTGCCTGACCTGGTTCAAGAACACGAATTTCGGCCAACGGTCTAAAACAAAGGACGATATATGAGCCACCACCACAATAAGAAACAAATTAGGACCATCTAAACGTACCAGAAACTGGATGATCAGCAGGTTCACTTTTTAATCGCTTTTTATAGTAGATTTCAATAACTGAACTGATTAAGTCGCGAGAAAACCAAAATGCTGTTGGTGGGTGTCATTTAGCTCAGATAGCAAGAGTGCCGGTGGTATGGTAGGCCTGCCATCAGTACTACAAAGCTCGAAGCGCCGACGGCGTCGACCACCACCCCTACCATCGGTGAGAGCACTTTCGGCGCCCTGTTACCCATTACTGTCGCTACCACAATCGACCTCTGCGCCGGAAATGCGGAACCGGTCCCAAACTGTCCCCATTGCGATCGCACCTTCGCTTCTTTCACTGGTCTGGTCGGTCACTCGCAAATTAATCGAACTGGGACTAACGAGCCATAGACGAACTGTTTACCTTTATTAGGCACTGTGGCCGAGCCCACCTCAGCTCTCCCTGACTCTGCATTTTCACCGGGCCCAGTTGTGTAGGGGAGAAGAGAGTGCGGCAGATACTGCGCAAGTCTGCTATTACTTTAAATGAATTCCCATGCAAGTCATCGTCATGCACCCCCCACGCTATGGGAGACACGGTGAAGATGGTTGCGTGCGATGGTCGAACTGTCATGTTCTACAGCCGAAAAGTGTAAGCGTAAATAGTTGCTAAAGTCCTCTCGACAATGCATTTAAGCGAGTCATAATAAATTACCCGAGAGCGCACTAACCGACATACCATCCTTCTTAGATCAGCCATCACACCTAAGTTTGTAACCTCTGCGTTCTCGTTGAATGTCAAAACCGAGGGTCTGCCAGGACTGGCGAGGACTTCGACAGAATTCTACAGCTTAACAGTTGACCATAGACTGCAATTGAGGTGGAAGTTTTTGACTTGCCCGAAGTTAGTAGTTGAGTTTGAGAAAACATTGGCAAAAAAAGCCTTTCAGATCTAAGTCAAGTCTGCACATTAATTTTTGAATAAGTCAAAAAACCTTGTCATCAAAAGGCTGCAATGTCTTTGTGCTCGAATATGCGGTGACGTGGTCATGTTTGCGGTGATTTAACACAGGTTTTCACTGGGGTGCATGTGACCGAGTAGACCCATGCCATGGTTTAATTAGCGACGGCAATGAGAGCAGTTAAGGCGACGGCGTCTGGCGCATGTTGATGCTTCAGGTACCGGTTTGCCAATCACTGTGAGACATACTCGCAAATGACCCAACAGGCCAGTGCGTGGGGAAAACAAGCGGTGACAGTGTGAGCAGGACAGATTGGGGATGCTGAGTCAACTGACATTGCGGCGCCGCTACTGGCGATCGCGCTGGTGAATAGGGAGTTGGTAGGACTGAGGGTGGGAGAGTTGTTGGGTGTGCAAGGTATGCTTGATGTATCGATATTGCTGTGAATTCTGCTGTTATGGATACAAATCTGGCCGAATAGGCCCACGAGGGCTCCTAGTATTGGTGCCCCGTTCGCATTGTGGTGAATTCGCAAATGACCAGTCAGGACAATATGTGGAGTGAGCATGCGATCGTAATGAGGACAAGCTGAGAGCGAGTCCACGTCGCTGAAGTAGGGAGTGGGGATAGCGAGGGTGGTGGTTGACGGCGGGTCGGGAGTGTTCACACCGGTGGCAGGGATGGGAGAGATGGTCGTATTTGTCGTCGCCGCCACCGCGTTTACTTGTAGCCACCTTAAGGAATTCTCTCACATGTTCCTGTGGCGGCGGATCCGACCTCGTCAGCGAACCCCCGTAACGACATCTCCGTTGGGCAGTCGTTCATCGCCCATTTTCACAAGGTGACCGCTTCATTGCAGTGACAGTTGCCTTAGCATAGCACAGATGCCGAGGATTCTTGTCCGCTCCAAAACTTCTGTGTCCGGAATTCTGTCTTGCTACCTCAGCTTTAGGACTCTCCGGTGACGTCTGAAGTGGGGGTGATTGAGATTCCGTGCTTGTTTTTCGTAGATTGTTCCCGTCTCCGCACCATATAGCAGCGTCACCAAGATGACAGCTTTGTATATCTTGAGTCTGATGTTGAGGCGGAGGTCGAGGCGATGCCATACTGCGTCCTTCAGCTGACCGAAGGTCTAGCTAGCTTTCAAGATCTGCTGAGCCACGCCATCCTCGATTTTGATGCAGCATGAGAGTGTGCTGCCTAAATAGACGGAGTGGTCTACGGTTTTCTGTTGGGTGCCGTGGATGTTGGTTGTTGTATGCAACGTTGGGCGGCAGTTGGTGCATGACCGCCGTTTTGTCCGTGCTGATAGTAAACTCGAAGTTGGCGTAGTGGAGGTTGAAAGGTTCATGCTCCCTTGTATGTCAGCGTCTGTCGCGGTGTTGAGTGTACAATCGTTCGCGAGGAGCTGATCATGGACAGTAGCCGTGGAGAGACGCGTGGGGGTCTAAGTGCGCCAGCTACTGAGAAGATAGCCCCCGATCCCGTATGCGATGCGGATCCCGGGGCGCCATCACTATAGGCGCCCATCATTATGGCCGAAAACATGAGGCTGAAGAGGGTGAAGGCGAGTACGTAGCCTTGTTTCACACCGTTGGTTGCTGCAAATGCCTCTGAGATGGTCCCAGTGTCCGTGACGTGGGCCATCCTCCCGTCATGGAGCTGGCGCGCCATGTGCGTGAATCGGTAAGTAAATCCGAATATCTGTATGATTTTTTGCAGTCCGTCGCGATTCATGGTGTCGAAGGCTTTCGTCAGGTTCACAAAGGTGTTGTTGAGGTGCGTGCGCATTTTCTGGCATTTCTCTTGTGGCTGGCTGTCCGGGAGTAGTCCCTACTCGAGATGACAGTTTATATGGTTGGTGTGGATGCGAACGAAAATCTTTGCGACGATATTGAGCAGAGAGGTGCTCCTGTGATTATCATGGAGTCACCAGTTCCCTTTCCTTTTGTAGAAATGAACGATTGTAGCCTTCTTTAAATCCTTATGAAATGGTCCTGGACGTCACAGCCCCTGGAATAGGGTTTTAACATTATCCATCAGCTGAGGGTTCTCGTACTTGTAAACTTCGGCCTCGATCAGGCCGGATCACAGTGCTTTCCCGCTGGAGAGTCGGGGCACGTCCAAGTCTGTCAGCCAACTGGTGATGCTACCGACTCACAAATCTAAACAGCCTGTTGGCATGCGCCACACACGACCCGGCACCCATTTAACGTATCAGGACACATGAAATGGCACGTTTCCTACTTATGTGAGATGTGCATACTCTACCATACGACGTTTTATTCGCCATACTAGTACTGGCAGAGTAGATCGCGTGCATATTGCTGGAATGATGGATTGTGCCCTTTGGAGTGGTGAAATAGGTTCATTTTTAAACTGGTATATGTGATGAGACGTGGTGATGGGATCTGAACTGCAGTTTTGTATCTACTATTTTCATGGAGACGTATATGTCTGAATAGGCCCTTGAGATGACTGAATATCCTGAGGCATTGCGGGCAGGTAAGACGGGAGCGACAAACGTAGTGGAACTCAAGGCACTGGCTCTCCGGTCTCAGTAGGATGAATGCGCATTTGACCGACCAGACCGATGCGTGATTCAAATGTGCGGCAGTGACAAGAGCAGGATGAAACTGGCTATTGATCTGGTTGTGGTGGTGATGGTGGTGGCGACGGCGACGGCGACGGCGGCGGCGGCGGCGGTGGTGGTGGTGAAGAATAATAATAATAATAATAATAATAATAATAATAAGAAGAAGAAGAAGAAGAAGAAGAAGAAGAGGGATTCATTAGAGCTAGTGATAGAGGGAATTTCGGGTGCATGACGTGGATTGATTATGATGACGCTGTGGTGAATTCCGTTATCATGTATACGCATGTGATCGAAAAGATAAATATGGCGTCTGGATTTCCTCTTTCGGTGTAGACAGGGAAAGGACGCGCAACAGTTGTATATTGCGGCTCTCGACACCGGTCTGCCGGTCTCTCAGCGATTAACTCGCAAGTGACCGATCAGGCCGATATGTGATGGAAAATTGCGGTCACAGTGAAGGCTAGTCGGAAGTGATTTCACATTGCGGTGATGTTTCTCAGAACAGTAAGTGTTCACACTGGTTATTCTATTGGTGAAGGCAGTGGTGGCGTGATGAGGGACGAGTTGGTCGTGTCAAAAATGTGCTGGATTTGGAGATGTCCAATGAGGTCGAACTGCGTCCGGGGTGTCGGATGACTGTGAACAATATGGTAAGATTAGAAGGCCTGGGTCACTAGTTCGTAGCAATTGAGTCTCGTGAGCCTGTCTTTTCGCCTTCGCTGCGCATATCGGCTAGCTTCTAAGATGGTTGCTTCAGTTCTTACGACAGTGCGCCACGCCTTCCGATCGTCAACAGGGTCCCGCCAAGTCTCATGATTTATTTGCATGTGCATAGGGGGTCTTCAAGGCGTCTTTGTAACGAAGCTTCTATCCGACTTTTTTGTGAATAATCTTAAAGACGTCGCCGCAGCATAGCCGCATGGACAGATGTTCGTTACTCATCCTAACGATGCGGTCGCTCCACGTCCGTAGCACCTGCGTCAGCATAACGTAGATGTCAAAAAGGTCGGTTCTTTCCAGTATCTTAGCATCTGAAATCCTTTTCTGCCACTTCGGATTCCGTATTCCCCTGAGTCATGGGGGATGAAAATAAGTGTACATTCTTGCTTGACTTTTGCAGACTGTTCCTGTTTCTGCTTCGCACAGTCGGGAACATAATGAGGATAACAGCTCGCGGTGGTTCCAAATAAAGCACCGTTGCCGATCGAAAACCCGGCTGCCCACGGTGATCCTACTCACAATTTCTTCTTGGATCTAGTTGTTTCTTAAAATCGTATCCCTGTTGTGTGCGGGTTCGTCCAATGGAGTGAGACGAACTACATTGATAATGATCCTAAGTTCGCTGTACTCATCATTAGGCTCTGGTTGGTGCATGGTGACTCTCCTCCACGCCGATTATCAAGCCGGAAGTGGAGCAGCCGGACCCAAATAGGTCCATGCTCTGTTGCACGTCCTCTTCCGTTGTGGTATTTAACCCAGTCAGTCACGACCAGTAGGTCATGAACGCTGTACTTAGAGGCCCTGAAAGATGCTTGCATGCGACTTATGTTGATCAGTTTTCCGTCGCTTCGTACTCGATGTAGATTCGCGGCTATTTCTTACGTTAGGCGTCCAGTAGCATAGCAGAAAACATAAGACTGAATGGGGTGAGAGCGAGTGCACAGCCCTGCTTTGTTGCATTTGTCAGCACGAATGATTCCGAGACTGTTTTGTTGTCCGTGATGTGCGTCATCATCCCGTCGTGGACATGGTACACAATCTGATTTGCGCCCGTAAAATGAATCACACAGTAGATGCGCTGGACAAACATGGGGGCTAAATCGGGGTCCGACGGACGTTATTGAGAATACGTAGCCATAATAAATGCCAACACTGAGGGTGTGGCGGCAGGCTCATTGACGGGCCCACGCCGTGCCAGTTGGTATCCGATGTGCCCTCCTCCTTCTTTACTTGTCGAGTAAAATCCTGGGGTGTGTGGCGGTACGCCTAGGTGCGGGTTTTCGTCGTGCGAGCCATCTGCCCTATCTCCCACCTAGGGTCTTCTTGACTTTGTCATGACACCGGATCAAGGTTGGGGAGGGGGTGATAGTGCGGCAGAATCTACGCAAGTCTATTATCACTGTGAACAAATTCACGCGCAAGTCACCGTCTCTGCTCCCATCCTTCTATGGAACACACGGTGGACATCGTCGGAAATGACGGCAAAACTGTCGTACCATCTGAGCGAATCCCTAAGGACATCTGAATTTCGACATGATTCTCTAGAATCCACCGCGATTCATTGTGTCGAACGCAGTGTACGGGTTGGCCCTCATTTCCTGACACTTCTCCTGCCCTCGAGGGGCTGCAAAGATGGCGCAGCTATAAACCACTGTCAAAAACAAAACTACGCCAAATACGCGCCGAACTTCAAAGGTCTCTTTTTAGCCAAACACTATGACGGTAAAATTTTAATTAAGGTTACTTTACGCCATCGACGCACTTGACTCAAACCTATATTTTACAACGACAGTTGTTGCATAGTTGAGAGCCCTGCAGTGTTGATCCCGTGCACTTTCCTTTAGAGGAATTAGGAAAAAGAAGATACCGGCAGAGAATCCTGAAAGACACACCTTCCGCACTTTATTCTCTCTGCGGCAGCGCTACCGGCATTAGCCTTTCAATCGATTTAAGCATTCTACAGTGAGTGACCGATTTTGTGAAATGTCGGTCGAAATTCTGAAATGCGTTTTCGATTAGGAAGGATTACTTAGGGGGGGAGGGTTGTAATATTGATTATCGTGCGATATAATCCCTTAACATTTCGAAAATCGACAGAATGTCAGCTTTCGAATGCACTTCCTTTCGACTTCCTGTAAAAACCGTACTCGGTAAAAAAGTGACTACTTATATAACGTTCATACAGCATCGTACCTGTCCGTTTACCAATGCTCCTCACGAAATGTACAACATAGTCCGCATCCATTGCAAACTTTTATGAACTCTTTATGAGATTTTCTTAAAGACGCAGAGGAATATATGATTTTTTTACGCGGAAAGCATGCACCACGTAGACTGGAATCGCTAAACGATAATGTGACGGCTGATCAAACTCAAAGTTATTCGGGAATTGGGAAACCTTTTTAAAACCTAAATATATCCTTTCCTGAGGATAAAGTGTGAAGACGACGCGATTCTCTACCATATTAATAGAACAAAACATTTTGATGTACTCGAGTTCTATAAAGTGTATTTAAATAAGACCATCGAAAATCAATGTGAAAGATGCATGTTACATAAGTAGTCACTTTTTACCGAGTGCGGTTTCTACAGGGAGTTGAAAGGAAGTGCATTCGAAAGCCGACATTCTGGCGAGTCGAAATGTCAAGGGATTATGCCGTACGATAATCAATATTACAGCCCTCTCCCCCCCCTAAGTACTCCTTCCTAATCGAAAACGCATTTCAGAATTTCGACCGACATTTCATGACATCAGTCACTTACTGTACGCCAAAACCCAACTTACCAAAGCTATTGTATGAAATACGCTATCAGATGAACTGCTAACTGCTTTCTTCCGTCTCTGTCTAAAATTTAGGCAAGTCATCAGTTGACCTACTTTAGACCCTGGACGTCTGAAATGATGCGGGTCCTGGAGTACCTAGTTCTGATCTATTTAAAATGTCCATAATCTCTAGGTGACCTTGCTTATCATATGACATATATCCCGATGACGTCCAAATTCGGATTCTAAAGTTCGGCATTAACTGCATCTTTTTGTTTTTTTTATATGAAAGTCCATTTGTGCCTTTAAAAACAAAGTATTTCCGATTTCCCCAAAACACTTGCATAAATGTAGTTTCTCCCCCTTTACACCTTTAACCTTCAACGACTGTTCGAATGAAGAGCTCTACAGGGTTAAATATAAGGTCTTCGGTGCTTTGCGGCAAATGTCAGTTCTCTTTCTTTGGGTATGAATTGCAGCCCCCAAACAAGGGTTTCGTATCCCTTTAAATCGACTTTGATGTCACTAAAGCACGCGGCTTAACCCTCCCCCTCTAATTAATATTTGTTGTCACAATATCATTCAACCGACAGTTGTTAAGGCCCTGGGCAGAACTTGGTCTATCCTAACATGTTGTTCTCCCTGTCTTGAAGGTCCTATTTTTGAAATGTATTGCCAAAAGTACTGTTTTGAGTTTATTGCACTTCCTGTTATATGTCGAGGATGCCTCGTCAGCATGTTCCGTTATTTATTTAAGTAAATAACCATAAGTGTGTCTATTTCTGATCTAAGGAGAAGAGCTAGAATTGCATAAAACAATTCAGCTCAAGGTTCTTTGCTCTTTCTGATCGTGGTTCGACCTTAAAAACTGAATTTTCCCCCTGAATGACGCTTTATGCGCTTCAGTCCGGACAAATGTCCCCACCTCAGGATTTTTCAAAGAGAGCCCAAATATGAATGTTTCATACTCAAGGACTTACGTTTAAGCTAAACGGGCCGTCTATATTCCTCTATGTTTAGTCGGATTTCTGTTTGGTAATGCCGAAGTATCCCTGTGCTCTATATGAAATCGGGTATCTGTGTAGAGGTTACGCTTTCAAGAGCCTAAGTGGTAAGATAAAGTGGCCGGTATGTTTGTTTCACCATTTATTCTCGAATGGTTCAAAAGACGGAATAACATATGAAAGCAGGATGCTTTTGATATCTTTTTGACCTAGATCAGAATTGAAAAAGGTTTAACATTTTATTAATTTCCCGAGGGACTGGGATTAAATCCGCCGGGACGAACCTTTTCAGTCTGCATCAGAAATTTGGTTAATAAGTAAACATTCGTATACTACTGACCGCCCGTTAGTAGCTTGTAAATGTAACGCTACTATTTCACTACAACTGGCAGATATCAACCAAACTACCAAATCGAGCCTGGTAGTTTCGTCCCGATACATTTACTCCAAGTTCGCTTACTAATTTCTGAGGAAATTATAAAACGCAAAACAGGAATCCGGGGCACATACTATAAAGCACATGGTGAACACTGGGGACCCACACATGAGCAGAACTCCTCCCAGCTGAGTCATGCAGCAACATGGAATCGGCGAAACACGCATATGGGCTTTTGACTGTTATCTGTATGATGAATAATTCGACATTGGAAAGAAGGTATATTTGACAAGAAGCTGTGTAGAAGATACCATGCGCAGGGACAGTCGACTGTAGAATGACATAACCGACAAAGACAAGGGAGATTGGAATGGCCATTTCCGGCATATTAGCCGTCGTCAGCCAGTCATACTCAACTCCGAAGTGCGGAACACCCGAGGCTCAAACTCGCGACCTGATAGCTAGAAGTTCACGCCTCTAACCACTGGGCCCGAGCCCGTTGCCCTCTCGGTTTTCGATCAGGAATATACGATGGTAGGGGGCGCTGAACGATCGGTGAGCGCCCCCTGCCACAGTCGACTGTCTCTGATTATGGGTTCGAGTGAGAATCCGATACGTCAGGTCAACAAACTTCTTGTTTCAGTGATCGCATCTTCTTCTTCTGAGTTACACTGATAGTAGACTTGCGCGGCATCCACTGCACTCTCTCCTCCTTTCTTACATTGGTCCGATCCACCAGTCGGCCACACACTTCGCTGACTGCAAGGTCGGGGGTTGGATCGTCAGTTGGCAACCTTCCAGGCCATGGTTTTTGCACACCGAGATAGCTTCAAGCGCATCAGATTGTTTGTAATGAGGAAAATGTGCTGAGAGTCGACCTTGCTCGCTCTTCCCTTTCCCGTGCGCCAGTCGATTGTCCGAGCCGGTCCACCGGCTAATGCCAAGAGTGGTAGAAATGGCTGACGGAGCTTAGAACGGCCTGTCTATGAGTGACACACACACCACATGACCCCCACACTCACACGTCAGGATTTCACACAAAAGAAGTAGGCGACTCGCATCCCACATGTAGCAAAGGAGCCACATGAAGCAGGAGCCGGAGAACACACTTCCTGCTCACGTGAGAGGTGCCTAGTGGAATACGCGTGTTAGTTCGAGCAGCTGAGGCGGCGACGACGGGTGTGCCCTAGTTCGCCAGTATCTGTGCGATGGATTCGCAAGTGGCTCATCAGGTCACCGTATGTTCGGTGACAGTGGGGACAGAATAGGTCCAGAACTGCCGAGCCGATGATGGTGGTGATGCAGTTACTAGTGAGGGCCGCATTGTTGGATGAGGAGTTGGCAGTTCTGAAGATGGGAGGGTTATTGGATATGCGAGATACGTTTGGGGGGTCGATACTGCGGCAAATCCCGCTGTCGTGGATATATATGTAGTGTGTGAATGTGTGTGGGTAGCGGAGACGACGTCGGCGAATGTATGGTGGGGCTACTGGCAATGGTACACCTCATACGGCGTGATAGAATCGCAAGTGACCGACCAAGCCGACGTACGAGGTGAATGTGCAATTGCAATGAGGACAGGTTGAGATTGAGTCCACATTTCTGGTGGGATGCTGATGATGCGAGTAGTGGCTGCCAAGGAGCAGGGAGTGTTCTCACCAGAGGCAAGAATAAGAGATCTGGTAGTCGTCGTCATCGTCGGGGGGTGGGGGTTGCGGCACGAATGGAGGTGAAGGTGACTGACAGTTGTGGGGCATCAGGAGTGTGGTCGCCGATGATGGAGATGGTGGTCGTCGTGGACGCCGTCCGGATTGGTGCAGGGTGATGATGGAGCGTTTGTGGAAGCAGCAGGTGGGGTTGTCGGATAGTTGTTACATTGGGACCGGAGATATCCGACGAGGCCGAGCCTTACGCAGAAATTTCGTTGGCCTCGTGAAATGTTTGGAGGGGCTGCTTGTTGACTTTATGGGTCGGAGGCACTAGTGACTTACGAGCCGCTCTTTTGGCTTTGGCAACGACGATCCAAGTGGCTTTACACATTGTTACTTCAGTCTTCAATGTTCTTCTCCGGGTCAGTCGGTCGTGAGCGAGGTCCTACCAGCTTTTCGGGTTGATTTACAGGTGTTTCATGGAGTTCGTCAAGGTGTCCTTGTAGCGACACGTTTTTCATCCTTATCGGCGATCACCCATAGTGGCATCTCCGTAGAAGATTTCTTTCGGCACTCGTTCGTCATCCATCCTCACCAGGTGACCGCTCCGTTGCAATTGCATTTACCTCGGCATGACGTGGATGCCAAATAGTCCATTCCGTCCCCAGACTTCCGTGTAGGAGATCCTGTCATACCACTTCATTTTCAATATTCTCCGGAGACAGCCAGAACGGAAGTTCTTGAGTTACCTGGCCTGATTGGCGCAGATGGCCCATGTCTCCGACCCGTATAGTAACGTTTTCAAAACTACAGTCCTGTAGACTTTGAGCTTTACGTTTGGTCGAAGTTCTTAGTGGTTCAAGGCGGAGACCTGCAGCTGACCGAAGGTCTGACTGGTCTTGTAGATCCAGTGAGCCATGTCGACTTTGATTTTGCTGATTAATGAGAGCCTGTTGCCTAAATAGGCAAAATTGTCCACGGTCTTCAGCTGGGTGCGCTGACGGTGATGCGCGGGACTCTGTGTACGGTGCTAGGTTACGGTAGATGTATGATCCCCGTTTTGTCCGTGTTAATGGTCAGTCCGATGCTGGCGCAACCGGCGACGAAAGGGTCCATTAGTCGTTACAGTCGCCGGTCGCGCGCGCAGTCGTCCTCGAAGAACAGGTCATGGACAGTAGACATGGATAGACGCGTTGAGGCGTGTAAGCGCCGGATATTGAGAAGATGGCCGTTAGTCCTGTAGAAACAATCGTCATGAGGAAGAGGTTGAAGTGTGGCAGTCTGTTCACTTGCTTACTGCTTTGTATCGTGGCCCAGTTGTCCGTCTCATGCTCCCTGTCGATTCGCTGTCAGGATAACGCGATGCTCATCATTAGCACTGCGAGGGCTTGAAGCCAGTAAATGCAGCTTCTCCGCTGATTGGCCACAGGCCGACACAACTCAGGCATATCAAAGCGTACACACGCGCATGAAGAGACAGCTTCGGGCGACTGCTTGCTGGGCCTTCTGTACGCTCTTTTACAACACTAATGCTTGCCTAAAACAGTCCGTCTTCCCTGACTTGAGATTTGGAATATGCGTATTTTTGACCATTGGCTCTCTCGAGTCAGCCTCCTATCACGACGACCGGTGAAGCCGACTTGATAGGATCACGACCATCAGAACTGACGGGACCCAATCATCGCTATAACTGGCGACTCCTCATGAACGCCAATCTTCCTCCTTCCAGGTCTATGGCAAAATCAGGCGTTGACATGGAAAACTTTCCGCCGGATTTGCAGCGTACTTTGGCACCTGCTTCTGGCATCCTTTCGGCCACGCAATTTACTCAGACGGCCGAACGGCTTATGGATGTGCATGGTTTTTTCCAAGCCATCACGCCCCATTCTCTCAACTTCTTCAATCTTTCCTGTGTCTTCCCTCTCACAAATAAAGTCTGAAGTTGCGAAGCTTGCCCACGACATAGCTTCTCTTCAAAAACGGGCAGCTCTTTCATCATCCTAGAGCCCGCCGAGGTCACCTACCCCACATGTCCAGTTTACATTTTCGTCTAGTCCCAGCACGGCCGCCACCTGTTGGTATCACACAGCCTTTGGTGTCAATGCTGCACTTCTCCCTGCTCCTTAATCTCCAAGCAGAACACACGGCTAAAACGGGTCACCACAAAGGCCAGTGCGACAAATCTTCCTGACAGCTCCAGCCCTGGTTTTACCTTCTACGTCTGTGACAACCGGAGCAGCAAGCGTTTCCTGGTCCACACTGGTGCGCAGCTGAATGTTATCCCTCCCACAGAAGCCGATCGTCGGTGCCCTAACCCCGCCCTCTTTCTCCAGCCCGTCAACAACTTGCCAGTCACCACCTTTGGCACCTGCACCCTCTCCCTGGATATCGGTCTCTGACGTCTTTTTCCTTGGGTTTTTGTTGTTGCTGACGTTCCCTGTGCCCCTCTCGATGCAGACGCCCTCGCCGCTTTCGGCCCTCTGGTCGACCGCCATCAGTACCGTCTACACGACCAGACCATCAAGCCCAAATTCCGGGGAATCCCCCGTCTGAATTGTCCCGCAAACTTGCCGTCCTGGACCCTAACCCAGATAGTTCATTTTAGCAGCTCCTTACTAGGTATTCTGGCCTCACCCGTCCCAACTTCATCGTCTCGACCCCCCACCGCACCACGTTGTTCATCACATCCGTACGACAGGTCCTCCCGTGTTTTCTCGGCTTCACCGTCTACCGCCTACAGTTCTTGTTGCCACCAAGGCCGAATTTGAGCACATGCCTCATATGGGCATCATTCGTTAATATGAAAGCCCTTAGCCCTCACCCCTTCGCGTGGTCTTCAAGGCTACCACTGATGACTGACGTCCTTGCAGTGACTATCGGGCCTTGAAAAACGTCACCTTTCCTGACTGCTAGCCTGTTCCACGTATTCAGGATTTTGCCAGTGTCCTAGTCGGCAAGTCTGTCTTTTTGAAGATCGACCTGGTCCAGGCCTTCAATCGGATCCCTATCGCACCCTCAAGGATATTTTAAAGACTGCCGTTACTACTCCATTTGGCCTCTTTGAGTTCCTGTGTATGCCGTTTTGACTCCAGAATGCCTCCCAGACTTTCGAGAGATTAGCAGGTAGAGTGTTTCGTGGTCTACCTTTTGTCTACTCCTACACTGACGGTCTCTTGGTGAATAGCTCTTCAACCGAACAACACCTAAAGCATCTTGCAACGTTGTTTGACCGTCTCTAACAATCTGAAGTTGTTTTCAACCCGTCAATGCACACCTTCGGCGCTCCCTCCCTTGAATTTCTCGGACATTTAGCCGATTTCATTGGCATCCAGCCTCTTCCTTCAAAGGTCACAGCCATCCGTGAATTTCTGCCCCTTACTTCCAAGCGTCAACTGTAGCGCTTTCTTGGCATGGTTAATTTTTACCGCCGATTCCTCCGGCACTGTGCCGAAACCATCATGCCGCCCACGAACCTCCTCTCTAGTCCCAAACGTTTGTTAGAGCTCTCCACAGACTCTCGTGTTGTTTTTGACAAAGTGAAGACTGTCCTGGCCGATGCTGACCTCCTGACTCATTCGACTCCCGATGCTTTCGTCTCCCTCATGGTTGACATATCCAATGTTGCAGCCGTTTCGGTTTCCCAGCAGCACTTCGCAGGTCAGACTCAACTCCTAGCCTTCATCTCCAGGACGTTACCAGTCACCAAATGGCGCTAAAGCACATTCGAACGCCAGCTTCTTGCCGTCTATATCGCTGAGAAACACCTTCGACACTTCCTTGGGGGCAGGGACTTCACTGTGTTCACGGACCACCAGTCTCTTTCCTTCGCTCTCAGGTCGAGTTTTGACCAGCTAAACCCCCAGTAGATCAACCTCACCGTGGTCTTACTGAGTATACGCCCCACTCTCAAGTCGGACCTCAACTGTTCCGCCGCTGAACTGGTGTTTGGTGCCACCGTCCGAATTCCTAGTGAGATGATTTCGTCGACCCCTCATTGTACGGTCCAGGATCCTACCAACCTTCTGCACCTTCTCCGGCAGTTGATGCAGACTTTCTACTTATTTTGTGCAGCACACTATTTTAGATCCACACAAGTCCCAAGAAAGAGAGGATGCAACGAACGCCGCAAACTATTTCAACTTTACTTCTGACATCACCGTTCTCCTGGCTTACATGTTATTCCACGAATTTACATGATACATGTGGGGACTAAAACTTTGTGTTTGAGGGCATACGGGGAGATTGGTTTAATTTCCCCAGATTGTGACGTCCATGTTCACCATCGTTGTCAAAAATTTAAGCAGATAGGGGAACGTCTATTCTGCCTGCTTCCGGTTGATTGTAATTGTTCACAACTCGAGAACCCGTTCGAGATTATCTCCTATTTCCGCAGTAATTTCAGCCAAAACATCCGGTAGTTTACTTCTATTTGGTTTGTTGTTCCTGGGCTGGCTAATGCTCTACTTGATGAGCATCTGCAACATACACCAACACCACCCATCAGCGCATAACGCAACCACTCAATTGACACCTTTCAAGTATCTGATGAGCGTATTTCTCGGCCCCTTCCCAATGTGGCTCCTTTGCTGCATGTGTGATCGCAATACGAGGCTATCACGGCGCGCCAGACGCTGTGGCTTGGAAGGTTGCCGACTGATATTTCAGCTCAGTGCACGCAGTGGGCCCACTTGTGTGTGTTTGTGTGGAGTAGTGGACTGATGGGCGGGGTATAGGGGTGTCCAGTAGTGGGTCCACGTGACGGTCGTAGTAGGTTGCTTACTTGCTTGCAGGTGTTGACTACGCCTAGCGTCCACTGACTGGCACCCAACTCACACCTGTGCTTCCCCAAAGCTAGGCTCTGCCTAGCGGCCACATCCCGGTAACCGCATCGACCACCGGGATAAACCAGGTGAGGGTATCCCTGTGTGCATCTCTGCACACGGTAACTCAGCTCTGCTGGCCGGATGGATCTTCACATGGACATCGTCGAGGCCAGGCTCCGTCGGATAAACCGTAGGCGGCCACAAGGTAAGTGAGCCTCCAGGTACGTGCACGTTGCTCTGCTGTCTTCGCTACGCTTGTCCTTGTTTGCCTGCCGTCTGTCTGTTTCGTGCCTGCCCTTGTTAAAAACTGACCGTCGTTCTGTCGAATTGTCTCTGTTGCTTTTGCTTCTTGCTGTTCTGTCTGCTTGTTTTTGTCTGCTTGTTCGTATCCGTACTTACTGCAAGCTAAATGCCGGTCTGTTGATCGTGTCTGCTGACCAACCAAACTACTAGCAGATGACGAAAACAGAGGAATCCACTGTGACCTTCAACTGATTGCTGCAGTCTAAAGGAGGAGCTGACGTAAAGATCCACGAACATCTTCGTTCGCGAAGGGATAAGAGGAGCAGAGTAAATTCTTTGTGGGGGTCGGATGAAAGCCTGGGAATTTTATGCGGTTGTAGACCCAGGGTGGGGCTGCCATTCGGGGTGAGATCTCAAAATCTCCGAGGCCAGGTTGGATTCCTGATGGGGGCCGACGATTAGGGGAACGGAGGGCGCTTAGAGTGTGTCCGTCAACATTGCCCTAATTACTTCTCCGAGGGGTTGGTTAAGGAGGACATCGCGTTTTGCAAAGGACACAATGCGAGCACAGAAAAATCGAGAAGAATCAAAATTTCTAAAGCGAGATCCCAGAAGGCCTAAGCGCAAGCACAGGGAAAGTGCTGGGGGATACGGTAATTTGGCGGCGACGTCCTGAATTTCCGATGGTCCTTTCTCAAAATCATAGATGAGATGGCCTGGGAAAGATGAGGAGAATAACAATCTAATCGAGTCAGCATTCAGATAAAGGTGCTGTATTCTCCTAAAATATTCAGATTATCTGATGATGTTAAGTCTATTGTAAGGTTATCCCTACGGAAAGTATCCCTGCCAGCACATGGCCCCTTCATAGGCGGGGCTGGAAGGGGCTGGGTGGGGCCAGAGCCCCCTCTGCATTGAAGCATTTTGAAGCGTATTTGCATCGAAAGATATGTTTCAAAAGCACCACTCATTGTACCTTCTTTGGCATTAAAAGGAGCTAATTTATCAAAATTGGAGAAAGCATCCGTTTACGCCCACTGAATGCAGCTGCGGATGAGCACAATATATTGAGGTTTTGTGTAAGTCCCTCATTGCGTAAACTCTTATTTGTCCACCGGTTTACAATCTGTGTGTGTTATTAATTCGTATATTTGACGATCGGTTGCAGATAATATCGTGAGTCAACCAATGCTGTTTTCATGCTCTTGATATCTGTCTTAGTTAATTTATGTATATTATGCTAATTGTTTGGGTATCTACTCACCAGCCAGTTCAAGTAGTGGACTTTTATGTCTATGTATGTACTATTTAGCCTTGTAAATAATTTTTTTCCATTTAAATAACGCATGACTTACAGTCATTGCTAGAAATGGTATTAGCAGTAAGTATAGGGGTCGGTAGGGTGCAAAACATGGATGGGGGTCTGGGGGGCCGCTGATAACGGATATAAGTAGACTGTCGTTTGCCTGAAAATTTTGAGTTACGAACGATCGGAGTCGATTCGCCACCGTTTCGCTTGACAAGGGCGTATTCGATTCGCTTCCGGCCCGTCGAAACTAAGGGTACGAATCGCTTCCGATTCGGAACAAATTCGTAACTCTTTGCTATTAGGGTGTTCGTAGTCCACTTATACAAATTGTTTATCATTTCTTACTGAATATCCAAAGCAATTATGAAGCGTAATCACTCTGGCTATCACCGAAGCACCATAAACAGGCGCATTAAGCGCCTAATGAAGGCATATTATGAGGCCACTGAAGAGCCTGAGCCTGAGGTTCCATCAACGTCGACGGCAGTTGGCAATCAATCTCCCGAACGAGAAATGCCTAGACTGAACTCTGAGACTTCCGCTGGTAGGTATTATGAGCGTGTAAACGAATAATGGGTGTAGAGTCCGTGGAAGACATGGACGACACAAACGCAGCTGGAGGCAAGTCCTTTCTGGAGGCCTTGAAAGAATACGCCCTGGAAGTGCAAATGCCTTTGTCTAATACAAAAAAGTTATTTAATATGTTACGGCATTTCCATCCGGAAGTACCTAAGGACCCATGGACGCTATTGCTAACGCCTCGAGCGTGCAATAAGAAGCGTCTGAGTAACGGCACCTACGTTCACTTGGGTCTCACAGACGGTCTGCTTCATGAGCTTCGTCTTCGTGCGAGAACAAGTATTTCCGACATACGCATTCAAGTGCACATCGACGGAATGAAAGTTTTTAAGGGGTCCAACCAGTGCCTGTGGCCAATACTAAGTCGTATTAGCCATCCGGCAGTTGGACAACCCTTTGTTGTCGGCGTTTTTTCCGGATCTAGTAAGCCAGAGTCCCTGGACGACTTCTTACATGACTGTATAAGGGAACTGAAGGGATTACTTGCTACTGGCCTGTGCTTCCCATCGACAGGAAAGGTTATAAGGGTAGCCCTAGAGAATGTCATCTGTGATACGCCCGCTCGATCTTACATCAGGCAAGTGAAAGCGCATAATGGCTATTACGGATGCGACAGGTATGTTGTTTCGCACAAATAACGGCAGTCACGGTAGGTGCTGTCATGTTGGGCGCCCCGTTGCCAACCGCATGACATTCCCCACGTACACTGGCCGGTTGCTAGACGACAGGTCATTTCGATAGCGAACCCAGGCACTGCACCACAAGGGCAGGTCGTCTTTTGAGGATTTACCGATCGACATGGTAGCCTAATTTCCAATCGACTACATGCACCTAGTCTGTCTGGGTGTGATGCGGAAGTTGATTCACTTGTGGCGACTGGGGACAAGGTTATCTGTCCGACTGAATGCCTCCATCGAGAGATGCAGTCGGTGTTTGTCGGCGGAGTTTTCTCGCATGTGCAGATCTCTTGACTCTCTCGAATACTGGAAGGCTGCCGAATACCGGCAATTCTTACTGTACATAGGCCCTACCGTTTTATCCCCCGTTCTTGATATCACCCGTTATAATCACTTTTTGTTATTGAGCGTTGCCATTTACATATTTTGTCCCCAAGCTTTACATACATCCTGGATTGACTTTGCCCGTCTCATGTTAAACAATTTTGTTACTGATTTTCCCCAATTGTACAGTCCAGCAGACATTGTATATAACGTACATTTCCCCCTTCACCTCCATGAAGACGTATGTCGTTTTGGAGTGTTGGATAGGTTTTCTGCGTTCCCCTTAGAGTCTTTTTTGCAAACAGTTCGCAACACCATAAAAGGACCGACAAACATAGCTGTCCAGGTGTACAGGCGGTTTATAGAAAGACGCCTGCCTGAGTTGCCAGCATCTTCAATGCTGCTGGACGACGATGATGAAGTAGCACGGCCTTTTCACTTGCCCCGCAGCTCCGGTGCCGTTTTACACAATGGATACGTCTTGTCGACTACAGCGCCGAATAACGTGGTACTGATTGGAAACAGGCCGTGTGCATTGACGTCTGTTTCGGCTGACAGAATTTAGTATCGCCCTTTTTTGGATTGCAGGGACTTATTTACCATATCTTTTTCATCTTTCACGTTGTTCATGTTTAAAGCATCGGTTTTAGAAAACATTCCCTCAATGGCTACCCTTGCGGACATTGTCTGTAAATATGTTGCCTTCCAAACTGACGACGATTTCTACCTAATCCCCCTTTTACACACATTTACTGCACAGT